TCACCTAACGGGCTCTATGAACTGGACAGTGGACAGTATTGGTAGCTCGGTCACCCATCTATCTAATGGACTCCGTGCACTGGACATTAGTGGTAGCTCGGTCACGCGTTCCACTAAAGGGCTGTGTGCACTGGACTGTAGTGGTAGCTCGGTCACTAGTTCACCTAACGGGCTCTGTGCACTGGACATTATTGGTAGCTCGGTCACCCATCTACCTAACGGTATCTAAGCACTGGACAGTAATGGTAGTTCAGTCACTCGTTCTCCTTAAGGGTTATTTGCACTGGACGGTAGTGGTAGCTCGGTCACTAGTTCACCTAACGGGATCTAAGCATTGGACAGTAATTGTAGCTCAGTCACTCGTTCCACTAAAGGGCTGTGTGCACTGGACTGTAGTGGTAGCTCGGTTACTAGTTCACCTAACGGGCTGTGTGCACTGGACATTATTTGTAGCTCGGTCACCCATCTAACTAACGGGATCTAAGCACTGGACAGTAATGGTAGCTCAGTCACTCGTTCCCTTAAGGGTTGTGTGCTCTGGACAGTAGTTGTAGCTCGGTCACTAGTTCACCTAACGGGCTCTGTGCACTGGACAGTAGCGGTAGCTCGGTTACTAGTTCACCTAACGGGATCTAAGCATTGGACAGTAATTGTAGCTCAGTCAATCGTTCCACTAAAGGGCTGTGTGCGCTGGACAGTAGTCGTAGCTCGGTCACTAGTTCACCTAACGGGCTCTGTGCACTGGACAGTAGTGGTAGCTCGGTCACTCGTTCAAGTAAATGGCTGTGTGCACTGGACTGTAGTGGTAGTTCAGTCACTAGTTCATCTAACGGGCTCTGTTCAAGTAAATGGTTGTGTGCACTGGACAGTAGCGGTAGCTCGGTTACTAGTTCACCTAACGGGCTGTGTGCACTGGACATTATTTGTAGCTCGGTCACCCATCTAACTAACGGGATCTAAGCACTGGACAGTAATGGTAGCTCAGTCACTCGTTCAAGTAAATGGCTGTGTGCACTGGACTGTAGTGGTAGCTCAGTCACTAGTTCATCTAACGGGCTAGGTGCATTGGACATTATTGGTAGCTCGGTCACCCATCTACCTAACGGGATCTAAGCACTGGACAGTAATGGTAGCTCTGTCACTCGTTCCCCTTAAGGGTTGTGTGCACTGGACAGTAGCGGTAGCTCGGTTACTAGTTCACCTAACGGGCTGTGTGCACTGGACATTATTTGTAGCTCGGTCACCCATCTAACTAACGGGATCTAAGCACTGGACAGTAATGGTAGCTCAGTCACTCGTTCAAGTAAATGGCTGTGTGCACTGGACTGTAGTGGTAGCTCAGTCACTAGTTCATCTAACGGGCTCTGTGCATTGGACATTATTGGTAGCTCGGTCACCCATCTACCTAACGGGATCTAAGCACTGGACAGTAATGGTAGCTCTGTCACTCGTTCCCCTTAAGGGTTGTGTGCACTGGACAGTAGCGGTAGCTCAGTCACTAGTTCATCTAACGGGCTCTGTGCACTGGATAGTAGTGGTAGCTCGGTCACTCGTTCAAGTAAATGGCTGTGTGCACTGGACTGTAGTGGTAGCTCAGTCACTAGTTCATCTAACGGGCTCCGTGCATTGGACATTATTGGTAGCTCGGTCACCCATCTACCTAACGGGATCTAAGCAATGGACAGTAATGGTAGCTCTGTCACTCGTTCCCCTTAAGGGTTGTGTGCACTGGACAGTAGCGGTAGCTCAGTCGCTAGTTCATCTAACGGGCTCTGTGCACTGGATAGTAGTGGTAGCTCGGTCACTCGTTCAAGTAAATGGCTGTGTGCACTGGACTGTAGTGGTAGCTCAGTCACTAGTTCATCTAACGGGCTCTGTGCACTGGACATTATTGGTAGCTCGGTCATTCGTTCAAGTAAATGGCTGTGTGCACTGGACTGTAGTGGTATCTCAGTCACTAGTTCATCTAACGGTCTCTGTGCACTGGACATTATTGGTAGCTCGGTCACCCATCTACCTAACGGGATCTAAGCACTGGACAGTAATGGTAGCTCTGTCATTCGTTCCCCTTAAGGGTTGTGTGCACTGGACAGTAGCGGTAGCTCAGTCACTAGTTCACCTAACGGGCTCTGTGCACTGGACAGTAGTGGTAGCTCGGTCACTCGTTCAAGTAAACGGCTGTGCACTGGACTGTAGTGGTAGCTCAGTCACTAGTTCATCTAACGGGCTCTGTGCACTGGACATTATTGGTAGCTCGGTCACCCATCTACCTAACGGGATCTAAGCACTGGACAGTAATGGTAGCTCTGTCACTCGTTCCCTTAAGGGTTGTGTGCACTGGACAGTAGCGGTAGCTCAGTCACTAGTTCATCTAACGGGCTCTGTGCACTGGATAGTAGTGGTAGCTCGGTCACTCGTTCAAGTAAATGGCTGTGTGCACTGGACTGTAGTGGTAGCTCAGTCACTAGTTCATCTAACGGGCTCTGTGCACTGGACATTATTGGTAGCTCGGTCACCCATCTACCTAACGGGATCTAAGCACTGGACAGTAATGGTAGCTCTGTCACTCGTTCCCCTTAAGGGTTGTGTGCACTGGACAGTAGCGGTAGCTCAGTCACTAGTTCATCTAACGGGCTCTGTGCACTGGATAGTAGTGGTAGCTCGGTCACTCGTTCAAGTAAATGGCTGTGTGCACTGGACTGTAGTGCTAGCTCAGTCACTAGTTCATCTAACGGGCTCTGTGCACTGGACATTATTGGTAGCTCGGTCATTCGTTCAAGTAAATGGCTGTGTGCACTGGACTGTAGTGGTAGCTCAGTCACTAGTTCATCTAACGGTCTCTGTGCACTGGACATTATTGGTAGCTCGGTCACCCATCTACCTAACGGGATCTAAGCACTGGACAGTAATGGTAGCTCTGTCATTCGTTCCCCTTAAGGGTTGTGTGCACTGGACAGTAGCGGTAGCTCAGTCACTAGTTCACCTAACGGGCTCTGTTCACTGGACAGTAGTGGTAGCTCGGTCACTCGTTCAAGTAAATGGCTGTGTGCACTGGACTGTAGTGGTAGCTCAGTCACTAGTTCATCTAACGGGCTCTGTGCACTGGACATTATTGGTAGCTCGGTCACCCATCTACCTAACGGGATCTAAGCACTGGACAGTAATGGTAGCTCTGTCACTCGTTCCCCTTAAGGGTTGTGTGCACTGGACAGTAGCGGTAGCTCGGTCACTAGTTCAACTAACGGGATCTAAGCATTGGACAGTAATTGTAGCTCAGTCACTCGTTCCACTAAAGGGCTGTGTGCACTGGACAGTAGTGGTAGCTCGAATCACTCTTTCACCTAACGGGTTCTGTGCACTGGACAGTGGTGGTAGCTCGGTCACGCGTTCACTTAATGGGCTGTGTGCACTGGGCTGTAGCGGTAGCTCGGTCACTAGTTCACCTAGCGGGCTCTGTGCACTGGACAGTATTGGTTGCTCGGTCACCCATCTACCTAGCGGGATCTAAGCACTGGGCAGTAGGGTTATCTCGGTCACTAGTTCACCTAACGGGCTGTGGGTGCTGGACAGTATTGGTAACTCGGTCACTCACTCTACACCTGCCCAGTAAGAAAAATCGCTAGGTGAGTAAGTGGCCGAGCTACAACTACTGCCCAGTGCACACAGTCCATTAGGTGAACGAGTGATCGAGCTTCCAAGTTATAACGTTGAAACGTTGAAACGGAACGTTGAAATAACGTATAAAAGTGCCAACAACCAAAACCGGAAGGCTAAATAAATTCTTATTAATTTTGTGCGTGGTGGTGCACGAAAATAAGTACTGTACGAGATTAATTTATTTATTTAGACTCGTACAATTGAATTAATTTTCGGTTTAATTAAGTAGTGTATTTATCAGTTTATGTTAAGTATTGTATTGTATCCAAGCAAATTTTTTCTAAGTCCCAAGGTCACCTTGAAAGCGGGTTAGATCGCTTTCGGCATCGTGCCGGCACGATTCTGGTCGAACGAATTTAAAAAAGAAAATCATGTCGGCCAGTTCTAGACCAAGGCCGATCTACTGGCGTTGTCAGTTTTTCAAAAAAACGGTTTGGTTATGGAGATCTGAAAACTATGGGGCGCCGCACGTAGTATAGATCTTGTACTTAATATATATATATATATATATATATATATATATATATATATATATATATATATATATATATATATATATATATATATATATATATATAAAGCAGTTAGTGTTTCTTTATTCAGTAATCATTTTGCATTCCCTCTGCAACCTTTAAGGTTCAAGTTGTCCATTTTCAGCATAATGACGGTCACAATCATCGAATTTAGATTCAGGGCGATGTTATTGTTAATGTTTGCATTAACTTTAAGAGCAATAATTTGCATTAACTATAAGAGCATTAATTTCACGAAACCTAAGAGACCCACGTCAGTTCTGACACGTATAAAGATACACGAGATAAAAGTGGCGTGACATTTAGAGAAACTACAGGGCTTTACTTTAATACCATACAGGTGGTGGTATCCCGTATCACCAAACTGTACATACGGGCACATAATATCTTTTATCGTATAGACATATACAGCTTACCGAGGACATTGCGGCTGTTAAATTCGCTGATCTCGATTAATAGTAAAAAGATGTTAGCATTCCTCAACGATATGCAAAACTGCAGAAAAAAAGTGTCTGCAATTGCATCATTATCCCGTGAAAACTCGAAATACAAATATTTGTAATTTCTCTTATATTCTTATTTTTATTTTATGGCGTGCAAAACCATCATCTGCCAACTCATCCGTAAATACTGCACTGTAAAGCCTGTAATTGAGCGAATTTAACATTTAGCTAGTACATTAGTACTTTAAGAGCTGCTCTAGCCGCAGATTGTTTAGGCTGCTAATAGTACTGCGCTTGAATCACTATTAATTTAGACGTTTTAATCCTTCTTGCCCATAAATACAGATAAATAAGCCCGGAACGAAAACTTTACACTTAACCGACAGACAAATACCGCGGAATTAAGCTGTGCAGGCAATCATATTCAAAATTTAAAAAAAAAACAACCGAAAAAATACGATGCTAACTAAAAAACACTATACCCTTGCATTCGATCGTCATAAAACTCCCTATATGGCAAACAATAAAATTAGTACGAGTACTAAGCCCGACTGTGCGTATACAATTTTAAAGAAATTAGCGTTTCAAGCAGTCTTGAACTAGCGTCCTCAACGGTACGGGAAACGGAGGCACCGCCTCGTCGACATTTTGATATCTCTGGTGCACTAAGGAGAACAATGGGGTCGCTTCGTTCAGCCTGCGGTAGACAGCAGCTCGTTCCGTCGGATCGCGGCACCGATGGCCGATCATATACGTCAGGGCATCCGCGTAAAACGTGTGCAGATGACTGAGTAGTGATTTATCAGAAGCGGTGGTCGCCCCTAAGAAAAACCCGCCACCCGACAATCAAAATCATTGTACGCTTTTGCTGAATTACGCTGAAATACACTGTACATATTTGTAATAACGAATTGCCGAATAAAATTGTCATTGTTATACAAATTTCAGGAGATACATACGAGGATCAAAAACCGCCATGGCCAGGAGCAGATAGGATTCCGTCAGCGTCAGCCCGATTCCTTTAAATACAGCGGTGAATTTGTAGCTGAAGCGGACGAATTCGGGATCCAAACCCATAGCCTCCATCCAGTAATCGCCGGCGTGAATTTGTTCGGGACCCGGCAATGGGTAATAATACTGCCCTTTATGAAAGAACCGCATGTGATGCAGCTGCGAAAAGTAACACCATAATTATGAAGAATAAACATATAATTATCATATACAAGCAGTTTGATAACAGGACAGAACAGCTCGTACCAAAGCGGTAATAAACGTTCTCTCCGTCAGTAAAATTTCGCGATCAGCCGAGCTGACGTTCTCGAAACCAGGTAGCATGGCGAGAAACTGCGCCAGACGGAGTTTGCCATCTTCCAGTTTCTCATGCAGGCGCAGTAGTGCTCGCTGCGGCAGTGTCTGTGGTTGATACTGCATGGAAAATTATTAAAAATGATTATTGCAAGATATGTCGGTAATAATTCTGCACGGAGTGCAGTGAAATGTTAAAATGCGTGAAAATAAAATTACTACTGATAGATCGTACCGGTATCTGCTGAGCTTCAAGGGCGGACGTCATGAACGCGGTATACACAGCAATCTGGTCTCCGTATGCAATCTCGTACGCCGCACACACCGCGCCACCGGCTTTCTGCAGCATCACATCGCGAGAATTGCTCATGTTTAAAAATTCCGCGCAATAAAAACTGGACGGTAGAACGGGACGAAAGGTTGCCGCGACACTCAAGAAGCCCTGAAGATCTGCAAAGAATACGCGTATTAATTGTCAGCCGAAGCCCTGCAGCATGTAAAAGCAGCGCGGACTCCGACCGGTTGGAGGGACAGTTTTGCGGAAACCGGGCGGAAAAGTCGCCGGTGTCGGCTGAAAATCCTCGTTGAAATGCCCACGCAGTAGAACCTGCATTTCTGCTCGGTTCGGCTGGGTTTCCATCGTGTTGGAGCGTGACGCACGATCAGCGGATGGTGGGTCTTCCATGGTGGCTATAATAATTGTTAGTTAAAGCCAAATTAATGATCTCGGTGTGCTCGTATTTTCTCGTACGGACTTTCGAAGTATCTACAGGGTTATCGCGCCAAGTGTGGACAGTTGCGTAAAATAAATTAAGAAATATTCCTGTAAATCGTTTTGGTGCATGTTTTGCTTTTTCTAGTGTAACTTTTTCTTGCAAATTCAGTGATACCAAAATTGGTATTTGTTGACGTGTCCGGAAGTAGTCAGGTGGTGTTTAAGGTTAGGGGGTAGCGGTCAATTTTTTAATGGTTATGACGACCCCTCTCAGAAATTCAGTAATGAATGTTTTTGCGTTAGTTTTCAGTGAACTATCAAGTGCTTTAAAAGGTCGTTGTTACCGGCTAGCAAAACATTCTAGCACGATCACTGCTCGTCGTGAGTTCAAAACAAGATGTACCTCCCATAGACTCGTATGTTAAAACCTACATTTCGAAGAATGTTGTTGCCTGGATCCCTGGTTGTGTTGGACGAGATGTTAGTGGTTTAACGGAAGTTCGAAAGAAACCATTAGAACACCATGGTATTACTTGATGGTTCTCAATCGTCCAACATTTTTAAAATATTGCTGATTGAACGTGAATATTTCTCGTTAAGCAGCGCAATTTTTCGGAAAATAATGAAAACTGTCCACACTTAGCCCGATAACCCTGTATTTGTATACTTGCAGTAAGTGAATAACGCGGTCGTAGTTAATGGTATACTTGCACTTAATTTTATTTCCCACTAATTAATTTCTGTCGTACTCGTAATGATGTACGAGTAGGACCGTTCTTAATGTGAGTTACTTGACCATCGCAACTGATTCTGCTGTTTGCCAGCGACATTTGGGCAGCGAACCGGTCGCTGTGGACGCTTCCTCGTCCTCCATATTATACAAGACTGCAGTACGTACATCTCTCAGTTTCATTCCCTTTTTATGAATATAACCGGAGCGCAGTTTTTACACGGTAGTCACAATTTTTAAAATCAGTTAACTTATTTTGATATTATTTGCGTTGTAAAAAGCAGTGAGTAAACACTGGCCCGCGCTGCGATAAATAATTTCTGCACTCGCTTTTGTCTGGTGGTGACTGCAGTGCAGTGCGGGCTCGCGTGGCGGCGATCGAGTGTTCCGTCACTCATTTTTTTACAAGGCAAATAACTTCGAATTCTGAAATTCTCATGTACTCTGTAAAAGATACGCTCTGTTTAATTAACTGGGTACAGAAACCGGAAGGTAATCGGTTTGTGGAAGTTGTGAGTCAAGCTGTCCAGTTGAACGATTCAGTTTCCATATGGCTCGGCTAAGCGAGTGTGTAATAGTTTCTTAATTTTCTGCCGAATAAGATACTATCGAACCACTGAATACTGTCCACTGAATTACTCCGCTTGGATCGTTTCCGTGCGCCATGCCCGTCTGACTCCTCCATCGAAATAATATAATTGCATTTAGCTTTCTAAAAACTCAATCCCCGAATATTGTAAACGCATCCTGCAGGAAATGGCCCGATACATAAAACATGGTAGACAATTCTTGTGAATAAAGCTGCAAAATGTGTGTGGAACTGCGCAGGAGGAGTTTCCACAGATTACACAGGAATAATATACCGATAAAAGATGTTGACGACATCCGCGCTCGAACGTTGAGACACGAAATCTTGAAGAAATAATTTCTTATCGTTAGGTAATGCGTGCGATGTACTCTGTATATAACAGTATGTACTGTGTGAGTGAATACAAGACGCTGGAGGCATTTTGCGTTCCTCGTGGTATCGCAAACGCTGAAAGCTGCCGCATCGGTTACACTGTCTGTGCAGGTTTGGGGGAAAATAATCGATAAAAATGCACTTACGGATAAGACACCGGAGTGGCTGCAGTTGTCTGCCGGGTGTGGGCGCTAATCTTTCCTACATATACTGCAAAAATAACCAAGCCATGATTCATATTTCCATTTGCGGAATTAATTGCCAGTATTAATTTTCTCGAGAATCGTCGGTCGTTTTACTAGGAATGTCGCACTGTGTACAGTGTACACGATCCAAAAAATAACGAAGATTAAAATGTACAGCAATAAAAAATTATGCCGGATTCGACTTCCATTTCCACGTACATAATTCGCAACCCTGGAGTTCTGTTGGTATGTCATAATACATGTATTGGTCCGTTCACCATTAAATGTGTTTTTTGTCACTGTTGTGCATTTGTACCTGCACAGGCTGCACTGTACCTGTTTTGTGCAAACTAAAATTCCAAAGAACCTTATACAAAACAAGCGTACCAGTGTTTTGTTATACTCGTATTATAATACGAGTATAACAAAACATTGGTACGGTTGTCCTTGCTTGGTACATTGGTATTATAACGCGGGACCGTATGGGCGCCACGCGTATCCTCAAAAGCGAACAGCGGTGAACCCGGATGAGGCTTTATTGCCGAATCTAATGCGCACCGTGGCGCAGCAACACCAGACTAATGAGGAAGGATCCTGCAGCCAGTGCAACTGTGCTGCAGGTCCGTCAAAACAGCGCAGCAATGTGCGGGGTGGAAATCCCCAGAAACAGCGAATAGCTACTCAGGAGGGCGGGGCGTCCCGCCCTTACACCCCTTTTGCAGGCATCGCTACGTCCTCGGAGCGAAATCTCCCAGGATTCGGAGGATCCGCACCCCACGCCGGTTCGGCTTGGGTTCCGGGTCAGTTCGGTCCGGTCGGCTCAGTCCTGGTTCGGTCGGCTCGAATCCGGTTCGGCTCGGGTTGGGTGCCGGGTCAGTTCGGTCCGAGGTCAGCCGTCTGGGTCAACGCATTGTCGCGCCAAATCCAGGGTCCAACCCGGAAACGGGTAAATTCCGTCGTTTCTTCAGCAGGGGAAAGGTCACGTTCTGGAGAAATTTGGGCAGGGGTTTGGGGTCTATGTGGCCCGTGACCCCTGTAAAAAAAACAAAGCACGCAAATCCGCGGTGAAATCCACTGCTCCGTCCGGGGGGAGGTCGCCGTCGCAGGAAGTTCGGGCAGTGTTATGGTGGGGGAATTCTTCGGCGTGATGCTGGTGGTCGATCCGTGCCGTTGGGATCGGAGTTGGTGCTGCTGTTGGCGGTGTATCCGTTCTGGTTTCCCGCTGGTCCGGGTCGCGTTCGCCGTCGGCATCGCAAGAGGCAATTCTCGCTCCACGGCATCGCAGGAGGGTTTCTCGCTCCGCGGCATCTCCGTCCAGTTTGGGAGGCATCCGGCGCGGGGAGGCGTCCATCTCCGTCAGTTGGGAGAGGAATCCATCACGTTCCGCGGGAATGGGGGGCATTTGTAGCTCCACACATGGGGGTTAAATTGGCTCAAATAATCAGAGGAGCCGTGCGCGCGGGCAGCGCGCACGGCCTGGCTCGCAACCATGATCTGCGACCATATAACGCGGGGCCGTATGGGCGCCACGCGTATCCTCAACAGCGAACAGCGGTGAACCCGGATGAGGCTTTATTGCCGAATCTAATGCGCACCGTGGCGCAGCAACACCAGACTAATGAGGAAGGATCCTGCAGCCAGTGCAACTGTGCTGCAGGTCCGTCAAAACAGCGCAGCAATGTGCGGGGTGGAAATCCCCAGAAACAGCGAATAGCTACTCAGGAGGGCGGGGCGTCCCGCCCTTACAGTATCTTATTCCTTGATAGACTAAAATAAGCTGACTCCGATCCTGCAATAAACAAAAATCGGTAAATAGAAATTGTGGCGGTTAAGAGACCGAAAAATACCACCGCTGAAAAAGTAAAGCTACAACGTTTTGGAATTTTCTAACAGCCATAACTCCCGAACCGGATGTTGCGCGCACAAACGGTTTTCACGCAAGTGTGTACGAATCATCTGGCTACAGAATGTTTTAAAAGAAGAGAGAAAAGGGTTTGGGAGTGCGCAAAAGTGAAAGATTTCGTGCATGTACATGACTTTGGTACTATGTACCGGGCCACTTCCCTTAACCTTTCGCACTACATACCACAGTCCCGTAAGTAACCTGCGTGTAAGGCTGCAACTTAATTAGCGCAAATAGCGCGGGGATTGGGTTTTTTGCATTAGAGAATTTCGACAGGCTGCATATTATCAGATAGCAGCGCAAAGGACGAACGAATCTAGCACACCTTTATTGAGAACCAATAAAGCAACAAAAAAACCAACAGAAAAACCACAACTTCGATGAGGCGTAATGCTGATGGCTGCCAGCGAGCTCGAGAATTCCGTCTTCAATGATCGGCGAGCAGCAGCTGCGTATCAGCTGCGTGTTGTTTTAATTAATACTTCCGTATCAGCTGAAGTCGCATAACATGGGAATCGCTCGTAGACTGGGCGCCGCCCCCACGAGTGCAGCAAGAGCGCTGATTAGTCAGCGTAGACAAAGTACGCTGAGCGGTCAGCGGAAATGCGCGGCACGAGTGGTGTGGCCATCTGCGTGCGAGCGACAGAGCAAGGCACAAGAGATGTTTACCGCCTCGAGTGAGCGGTCTCTGACAATATTCCCCGCCACAATACGGACCGGCTAAGTGTAGTGCAAGGACGAATTCGAGTCGCATGGCTCCCTGACATTTGGGCCGCATGACACTTCGGCCGCCGGACAATTCGGCCGCCCGTTGAAATGGGGCATAAGACAACCTAAGAAATCTAATAAAACCTAAGAAAGCCCAAGAAAACCAAAAAAACCTAAGAAGTCCTAAGAAGTATCATGCGGCCGAAATGGCAAGATACCGAGCCACATGTGGCCATCGTTATTGCTATTGCCGACTACTTCTTTAGCCTATTAATCCAGGCAATCATGCTCCACTGCTACTCGTATTTGCCGGTTGACGAAGCACTACCAGTACTGTACAAAATGCACAACCCAGTGCAACCGTTTTTGCTTTCGAAGATTTTCTAACCGTGGCCATTTACAAGCTACAGCTGATTTTTTATATATTTGGGAATTTATCACACAGTACTGACGGTAGACTTTGATCGACTGTCTAACGGGACTAGGGTCGTAGCGAAGTCCAACGGCACAGCGGGCGCAGGCTCTGAGATCATCTGTATGCGCAGTTGATGCCGACCGAACCACAGAAGTGTAAAACGGAGCGCAGTCAAATTGCGCACGCCCATCGTTCGGGCCTCGCTACGGCCCTTCAGCTGTGTGCACGAGTAATAAGCGTGCACGTGCTTTAAAATAAATTTTTACCGGTTCAAATGCGGCCCGGCAGCTGTATAAGAGGGTTGAAAAATACCGGCTCACGTGGCAATCGCTCGCTACTGAAAATCCTGTACCCGAGCGCAGATCACACGATCCTTATAGTATTATACAGTTCACGGTTGCCATGAGATAGCCGATGTCTGCGATTATTTTAACTGCTGCGATTATTTTAACTGCTCTCGCTGATTCGATTTAACGGTGTGGTGTATACAGACGAGCTGCCGAGCTGCCGGTTTCGGCTTTATTCCGCAATATTCTGGCACTTCATCATTTTCCATTCCGCAGTTTCGATTTCTGTGCACTATTATAAAAATAATAGTGCATTTGCGTTTCTTACTTGTATGTGTACAAATCACGCATACAAGTAGGCAAAATCACGCATACAAGTACGATCACGCATATGTAATACTCGTATTATGTACTGTTACTACCGTAATCTCTAAAACATTTCTGAAAGTAAAAAACATGATTGTAAAAAAATTAGCGAAATCTCCAAATTACGTAATTCCCAAATTAATCCTTGTATTAGTTATTCCTTGAACCGATTTCCAAAAAAATTACAAAATAATTTTTGAATTAAGCGAAAATTCCCAAATAAATCCCGCACTGTTTTTAATTGTTTGAAATAAATTCTAAATTTATTTCCACAATTTTTCGGATTGATTTTCGAATGGATTTACTGATTAATTGTGCAATTTTTGGTGCACGGATTTTAAGTGTGCAAGGTGCGTGGTAGCCTAAAATCACACCCGGCTCACTTGTTATAGTACAGGTCATGATAATGGAGGCCGTGATGAAAGGGCAATCGGAAAGACGACTTTACAAATCTTATGCAGCCGCGTCAAATTTATCAGGTTGACTTTCCGAACGCGACTGGAAACCCTCGGCCCGGAGACCATGGCCCCCGTCCAAAAGAATTTCTAGCATAGTATTGCCTGGCCTAGCCCGAAGCCACTACTTCACGCCCCTTCCTACCCTGAAGCTCTAACCACCTCACCTCGTCCCCGGCATGTCGCGCGTTGGGATAGGCTGCGTGACGCAGCACTTCCCGACGCGTGGCTTGCCGGGAAACGGGGTGTCCGGACCACGGCTGGCGGATGTAACGTGATTCATATTATGTCTGTGACTCTTGCTTTTAGCCATTCTGTTGAGCTGATTGTCTAGTTCTTCCACCTACATACGTGCTAGTCTGTTGATATGCTATGTCTCGTTATATAAGTCACAGTATGTTACTGTGATAGACAGTCATCTATCTAGTCGATTGACTAAACGGTGTATCAGTACGGTCGGCTATCTTATTAAAACCCATCGTTAAACGGACGTTGCGGAATTCAAATGCCGAATCACCCGGCAAAAGCCATCCACACTGCTTGTTCTTGTATCATCGGGGCTGACTGATCCC